CTATTTATACAATTATATTCTTATATAATTTGTCATTATTAACCTTATATTTGAGGGTTAGTCTCCATCAGATATATATTTCACCATTTTATCCAAGCTAGAAAGGTTTCTGCTTCACAGCGAAAAGGATGAGTCCCAGCAATATTAACATGTCAGCAGACAGCAGATTATGTCCTTGGACACGAGTAATACAAGTAACAGATAGACAGACTAAATTTGAAGGGAATTTGTCTTGTCCACTGCACTCACCCATCAAAAATAGTTATGTTATCACATTCACAGTGCAGCTTAAAATACATATTAAACTCAACTAAGTTTACCTAACAAAACAGTTTAAGGTTGGAGAAAGACTAAGAAAGTTGAAGCTTTAAACAAATACGGTATGTGGTTTTCTTCTGTCTCCAACAATTTGCTTTTTAGAAACTATCTACAGTCCCTTTAGGCTGTGATTACCAATACTCATTCATTTTACTTGTCTATCTACTCCCTTTGTGCTCCTTCCCACGACTCTCACTCCTATTTATACCCCAATTCTCACACCATCGTCATTGGCCATCTGAAATCAATCTGTGTTTTGTTTTTCCTTCCATCCTCTTCTGTCTTTTCCTCTCCCCTCTGTCTTTCTCCTACATGTGCATTCAGGTGTCAAAGGCATTTCGATGGCAATCCTTCATCTGTTCACAAACACACACACACAGACGTTTGCTGATACAGAGTGACGCCAGCGCAGTGTAAAAAAAAATCTATCCTGATGTGATCAGTGGAGATCGGCGCTATTGACAGACAGCAATATTCCCACGATAGAAATGATTCACCTTCATCACTGTCACAGTGTTTGTGGGTGCACTTTGGTGGTTGTGCCTATAAAACGGTATGAAGGAAGGATAAAAAAGTAGCACAATATTGGTTAAAGATGAAATAATTCAGAAAGTTTTAAAGTTACAGCTAAACAGTTGTTTACGTGTGATTATTCCTTAGAGTTGGAGGGAATGTAAGTTGAAAACTCATGTTAGTTAAAATTGTCTTCACTTTATTTTTTCCCCTTAAGATTGTTCCCTTTTTATCCAAACCATAAAGTAAGTACAGAAAAAAAGGGGAATCTCAAAGATACATCATTACAGAGCTGTGTAATCTAATGAGGTGGCTTACCTTTAGTCAATATGCCTGCAAGTATTTTTGGGTGTGTTAATACCTGGTTAAAACGTTAAAATTATCCTCGAGAAGAAAATAAACTCATTCTCTAGTTTCTTTTCTTATTACCAAAAAATTCAAGTCTCCAACTGATAACCCTATTTTCCATCCTAATGTTCATTTTAAAACAATCAAAACTATTTTACTGTAACATTTTCTCAATACTATGGCTTTATGTGTTCGTTAAAGTTAAACATCAGCTGCAATTAAAAAAAGTATCTAACAGATTGCCTATAGAGCCAGATCCACCTAAACAGCTACACTATTCAGCTTCCCCGTCCCTGTGGAATAACAGCATCCCCACAGCATGATGCTGCCGTCAGCATGTTTCTGTGATATGTATGGGATTTGGTGAATTTCACACATAGAAATCTGGTCTCATCTGTAAAGAGATGTAAATGTTTCTAAATACTTTCTGTGTCTATTTCATGGCTTGTGGGAAAATGACAAGGGAATACCTAATAATGAAATTGGGCAATCAGTAGCACTGGATTTTTTTGTTTTATTATTTTTTTTTTTTGTATGGATTTTGGATTAAGAGGCAAATAGATATTTGCACTCCACACTTTTAAGATTTCCAATTAATAAAATTGAAACATTGTATTAATGTTCCCACTCGATTTGGTTGGTCTGACACATGGAATCGCAGATAAAATACACTTAAGGTTGTGTTTTAATTCTAAATGTAAAAATATTAAATTGGGTATCTGTGAATATATGAGGAGTATTTCTCTCAAATGTTGTTACTTGAGCGTTCCTCATTTCTACTCATTCTTTCATAAAATGTATGTTAGTGTGTGGCTAGGGTCATTCATTTAGAATCAGTTTTGTGTTCAGTCTTTCATTTGTAGCTGTTTAATTTTCCTCTTCCATTATTTCTAAGTTTCATATTTGCTTCCCCCCACTCCTCTTTTCTCTTGTCTCCTTTACCCTCTCATCTTCTCCCCTCGTTCCCTCCTCTCTCGCCCATTCTTTATGTTTTGAAGGCTCATTTGTTAAGAGGAGGTAACACACTCTCACTCTCCTATGAGCTTCCTCATGTCTCTTCTTTGTGAGCTTTGGAAATATAATTTTCAGTTTTTAATTTGATTCATTTAGATTTGACCATTAATCAGTGCTGAGAGAGAGTTAATTTGGTGGAAAATAGATGAGGTAGTTAGAAGGGACACTTTATGAAGTGAATTCAGGGCCTTTTAGGTGTATGAAAGAAAGATAGAATTACTGAGAGTGTGAATGTAAAAGAAAGCAATTTAATGAACATGCACATTTAATTTGGAGTTTTATGCTAGAAAACTGATTCTTCATGTAAGCTGTATTTTGTAGTCAGCAACTACTCTAAATAAAAAGTTCCTCATCAGGTTTATGGAACCAGTCTTATATGATTTATGGCATAGGGCAAATGGAGAGTCTACTAGGAAGCTTAAGGAAATTGGAATGTGGCTACAAAAATATAAAAAAAAAAAACTACAATTGGTGCATGATATTAGAATCAAGAGTATTGCAATAAGATTTCTAATTATTTTAGGTCTTAATGTGTTAAAATTATTTCAAAGCACAGCTTTATTTAAAGAAACTCTTACAGTAATGGTACTGGCTATGACATTCTAAATAATCTAATGATAAACAAATTCAAGAATTTGGTCTGGTTATTGTAAAGGATGCACTGATGGACACAGGTAAATATTTCTTAACCATTCATTAATCTGGATTGACCAGTCCCAAAAGTAAGTCATTTCGTGGTCATGCTGGTGTGTACTATGTACTGTGTACTATGACTATGCTTTATGGTTCCGTGCAATTTTTTGGGCAGGTTTTGGACTGAGCATTTTTCCTCAGAATAATGTCTGTATAAAAATCATTAAAAACAGAAAAAACTAATTAAAGTCAATTTCTTCATCCCTCTCCATTATTGACTAATTTTCAGTCTGTATTTCTATTTGCCTTCCCTTCTTCTTCAAATAACCAGTGACCCAAGAGCTTTATAAACCTGCTACTCGTTGCGGCTTATAAACACAACATGGGGGTGTGGGTTAGAGAAAAAACAGATGTAGCTTTAGTGTGCTTGTAAGAGGAAAAGCAAAGAATAATGTGTATGAGTGGGTTTGTACCTCCTAGTGCTAAGAGTATCTTGACCGTTTGCTGACACTGGGCCCCCCACCGTACCTGGACTGTCAGTCCTTCTGTCCCCCTTTCTCTGCCTCAAGCAGTTACACACATGAACACACACAGTATTACAGTTGGGTTTCTGAGTACCTGAGCATTACAGATTTTTTTAATTTACTATAAAAAAAAGAAATACATATTTTAGTATATATATAAAAAAGAGTATTCATTTTAAATTAAATGAACATTTCTCACATGAAAACAAAATATCTTGGACCTTTTGATGACAGTCACAACACTTCAATTCACTGATTTAATCACCTTTTGAATGATACTTTTTCTGTAGCAGGAATAATTTTGAGTTCATTCATAAAGGTCCAGCTGGCTCATTTTTAATAAAATCAGCAGCAGCAAGGTTGAAGGAGTTCAACCTTGCAGGTAATTGAGTCAAAGTGCAATTCTGTACCCTTTGCCAGGCCCATCCATCTGATCCATCAAGAATCCATATCATCTCATTCACTAAAACCCTTAGAAATCTGTATTAAGATATTTTTTGGCCCAGTTTAGATGGCCCAGTCAACTTATGCTTCTTGGTCACTAGTTGTCGGTTTTCAGCTCTCCATGACGCCATTCAGAGAGACGGGGTTCCTGGTAGCTTTATGTAGCTCTTCTTAAATCGCTTGCAGCTCATTTTCGCATATCTGCAGCAAAATAATATGGCAATTTAGGGGTTTTTAAACAAAATCCTTGCTTTTTCAAGAGTGCTGCATTGTTTTTTTTTTTTTTTATTTACATTTAATAATTTCAAACTAAGCTAAATCACTCTTTTGGCACATTTTTTCCACAGTAACCAAACTTTTCTAATAACTGTGCCACCTAGGATAAAGGGTGCTGTTGAAGATTCTTGTTTTGGCTTAGAAAACATGCTAATTTAACCTGAAGAACAGGTCCGCCCCATTATGATAAAGGTGTTTTTCTCTGTTGGTTACACCCTCTTTCATTTTACAATCACCTATGACCAGATAAACTAAAATCCAATAAACATTAAGTTTTTTTTTTATCTTAGACTAAACATATGTGTTCAAATGTAATGATCATTCATTTTTTGCACATATTTTACATTTCTTTTATCTTTTCAATATATTTGATCTATAACTATGGTTATAGATAAAGTTAATAATATTATTCATTTTCTATGCAGAAAAGTTTCCCGTCACAAAAGTAAAAAAATAGGCCGTGTACCTTCAAAACTTTCTGTTTCAGCCCTCTTCCTCTTTCCTTCCTCCTCCTATCATGTTCAAGTCTTTACTCTCTCTCTCTCTAAAGACGATAGCACCTCTGTCTTCCTTATCCACCTTTAAGTGGTAACCATGGTAACATCCAATCCCTTGAGGGATAGGCCTAATTCAATTAGGACTCCTTTGTGTCAATTAATTAACAAGAAAGAGAGAGAGACGGCAATCAGGAGCCAGAGATTGGGTAACATAAAGCTGGAAAACCTGAGAAACAATATAGGAAAGACTGGAAGTGATTGTTGTCTCTAGATTTTTGGAATGTAAAACTCAAAAAGTTTACGGTGATGAGCCTATTTAGAAGCGAAACACAACACATTTATTTAATTAAGACATCTTTCCTATTCTTTTCTCAATTAATTATATTTTTTCACATTTTACTTACTTATTTTCTCTCTGTGATTTCTCTTTCAGGTGTTCGTCTGGACAGGGTTCGTGGTGGAAGGCAGAAATACAAACGCCGAATAGATGCAGACAACAGTCCTTACCTGAACCCACAGCTGGCTTTGCCCCCAAAGAAGCCATGTAAGAATTAAAACTGTCAGCAACATTTCAGATCCAGTTCTGCTGCATAGCCTTGTGTAAACTGTGTTAGGATGTTTAGTTATGCATCCTAACAGAGACAGTAGGACAAAAAAAAAAAGATTTCAATTGAGAACGCTCATACACCCAAAAATACTTATAACCACATTTATCTGCCTTTTATCTGCTATTACAAGTTTAGGATCCTAACATTTTATGCAAGTAATGTTCCACCATAAATGTATTTATCTAGCATCAATTGGATTGGCTGCTATTTTCAAGGAATAAACCAAATGCTTGACGAGTGAACAACCAATGGGAGAGTGGGTGAGAGTGACAGAGACAGGTAGAGACGTGAAGAGATTAAACCTAAATGAGAGCATTTCTCAGACAGAGAGAGAAGCAGGAATGGTGAGCAGGAGAACAGCAATAACCCTAATCCGGATTAAATCCAATCTGGCAACCACATCAAACTAGAGTTAGCTCTCTAGCTAACCGTCTGGTTGTGCACACAACATACACATACATGTGGTGCAGATTGACCAGTGTTTAGCAGCTTGCTCCCCAAAGCCCCTTTTGCTTAAAGCTGAAGCATATTTTGCTCTAGGCCAATATGCTGAATGGCTGCACTGCAGATTACTGGGACTTCTGCAACACTAATTATTGAAATGATGGGATAAACTGAAGTTATGTACACTGTTTTTATCTTAGCATAACAAGAGGGAGAAGTATTTGATAGCTAAAGGTACATCTAAATGTAAAGTTTTTCTTAAGCCCTGTCAGTGTTGGAAATGGAAAAACAGCTTCCCTTCATGAAGGAAGAGAAAGGCAAATGGTCCCTACCATTCTTATTTTTTTTATAAATATCTACTTCTTGCCTCACACATGAAATGTTCCTGCACTTCTGTCATCCTCACAAAACTTCTCTATCTGTAGCCCAGTCCCAAGTCTCACGTCCCAATTGATTGTTTGAGAACAGAACAATAGTCCAGGGTTTGGAAATGGGCTTCCATTGATTCTAATTAGGGAAACGTTAAATAAGATTTACTTTCAGATCCTGCAATGTGACTCGGCATGGTGTGGCTCAAATGACCCCGAAGTCTGACCGTGTTTGTGTGGATACATACATTTCATTTGTGTGAATATAAAAGATTTGGGGGGTGGACTGTGTTAAATCAATACACAGCTTATCCTCACAGCGCTGTTTCGCTCCCTCTTGTTTATATGTACCTAGTTATCACATCTCTGGATGCCTCCTGTCCATCTTTTACAATCTGTCCATGGCCCTTTTTCTACCCATCTGTCTTTGCCAGGTTTTTCTTCACTAATCTCCTCCTACTCTTTTTCTCCACTCTTTCTCTTCTATCCTGCACTAACATCCCCATGCCTGATTAGTCTGTGGATTAATTTGGAAGTAGGATATCAGTCTCTTACTAATGAGCCATAGAGGTCTCATCACCACATGTCACTGTGGCCAGAAGAGATGTTAAGCTTCCATAGAATACCAAATGGTCGCCATATAAAGGGTTAAAAAACTCTAAACAATAGGAATGCAATGGAGCAGCTTACTCAAACTCAGCATGTTAATCCAAAAAAGAGTATATAACAAAATGTAACCGTTGCTTTTTTTTTTCCTTAAAAGAAAAATTATTGCATTTTATCATAAATGCTTGATTGCAGCTGTTGCCACCAATGGTTAGAATGCCACTATAAATTTACAGGGAACTTGCATATTTTTAAACGGCCAAATTTGTTTAGTTAGCATTTTCCCAAATAAGTGAAGTTCTCATCTGAATAATGCGTTTCATATATTAAGCTTGATGTTCCAAAACGTAAATGTTGTAGAACTTGAAACCTGCCAGAAGGAAAAAACTTTCCCACAGCAGTTGCATTGAGTCACAGCAGATGTTTCATTCATAGGATCAAACAGACTATGCCTGTAACCTTTCACATATTTGCACCTGAATGGTGTGGAACACTTTGTACCGTATGAAGACAACAATTTCACTATCTCTCTGTCTCTGTGTCTGTCTCCTTGTCTGGTGGTCATGTCAGTTGCCTTTGGCTGCCTTGCAGATAACAAAATCGTGTCTCACCTGCTGGTGGCTGAGCCAGAAAAGATTTACGCCATGCCTGACCCAACAGTACCTGACAGCGACATCAAGGCCCTCACCACACTGTGTGACCTGGCGGACAGAGAGTTGGTAGTCAACATTGGCTGGGCCAAACACATCCCAGGTAGGACTTCAGTTCAATTCCCCCTCTGATTCAATACCATTTTTTTTTTCATCCAAATACGCAAAAAATCAGCTAAATTTGTGGATTTTTGGAAGGTTATACTGTATCTTGAGCTGCAACCACTGTAGAAATGCATGGTCACTCTTCCAATAACATAATCCTTACATTATAAAACAGGTTTTTGGTGTACATGTAGCTTTTCATTCTTTTGGTGCTCCTAATTTCTATAAAACTGAACATTATATGGAAAACAAGGTTATGATGAAATATTTGCTCCAATGTCCACAATTAATAACTTATTTGATAAAGATCTATAGATTTTAAATTGAGAGCATAGATGCATAGATAGATAGATAGATAGATAGATAGATAGATAGATAGATAGATAGATAGATAGATAGATAGATAGATAGATAGATAGATAGATAGATAGATAGATAGATAGATAGATAGATAGATAGAAATTACATATTAGTACCTGTCCACACTGAAAAGAATTCCATCTAATCCTTTTAAACCAACCCCTTTCCTCTGTTAATCTCTCTTGATCTGCAATACAAGATGAAAAGAATTACCATAATGGCAGAACCAAAAATTGGATTTAAAAAAAAGAAGAAGGGAAAAAAGGGAACCGAGGGAAAAAAGTTCAAAGTGGTTTTGCTGTCTCATGCGGGGAAGAGCAGCATATCAGATTAACAGATTAGCAAAACACTTTGACGCTTTGACCCTTTGTCAGATGAAAATAATTACTGAATACAAGAAAAGAGAATGATGTCCTGCTTTGCTTTAGAAGAACAGCTTTGCAGGGCAATAAAGCACAGGGTAAAATACCAGATTAAAGACATAAATATTATTCAGTGATGCTGTGTAAATCTATACCAATAAAGTTGGTGGCATTGGATAACAGGGTCCATGAATGATGCTTGTATATCAATAATATGAGAATAATGGTAAGAAGAAAAGATCTAGATGAATTGAGTGAGTGAGATAGGAATACACATTGCCCCTAGAAAGTGTATTGATCTCTGTGCTGCCACATGGACAATAAGCAGACATACATATTGATCCATAAACTAATAATAACACAGAAAATGTTTTTTTGTTGTTTTTTTAGGAAAATATACCATATTTCCCATACTTAGCTATACTTATATCTTTTCTAATGTTCCTCACATATCCGGTCCTCCTTTGGTTTCTCTTTCGCTCTAGATTTTCATTTTGCTCAGTTTTTAGCATGCTACTGCTGTACAACATCTAAAGCCAGACCAGCTAAAGAGGCTTGCAATCCTTTCAAAAAATTACAGTTATTGAAATAATTTTTTCGAATATAACTTACATTCATGACATATCCCCTTGTTGTTCTGATATCCAACTGCCTTTAGTAGTCACCTATTAGTTTACCAGGATGTCATTTAAAATCTGTAGTAATACAGCCTCCCCTTAAAGGTTTGTTGGTATACATTTGTGCACAAAAAGCACCATGAAGAACTTGGCTAGACATTTAAAACTGATGTAGGATTTAAAAATATAACTCAAACTCTTAAAACAACAAGGCTGAATTTATAATTTAAAACTTTAAAACAACATCCCTTGTAGAGAGAGTAATAACAGACATACTGAAGATGGGAAGAAAGAAGCAGGAACATAAAAGCATATATATATATATATATATATATATATATATATATATATATATATATATATATATATATATATATATATATATATATATAGTTCAGTCTTTTTAGAATGCCTGCCATATTTCTCATATTTCTACTTGCAAAAACTTTTAAAACCATCACTTCTCTTCCATCAGTTTTCCAATTATTAGCTGTTTTCCCTTGATTTGTTACTGACCACTGAATAAAATAAATCAAACCTTTTCCCGACTCTAAGATGACAAAATATGAAAAGGTTCCATTATTTTGGGAGACACTACACACTCAGGTCTCCAGCCATGTCTTTTTCATCTGATATGATTCTTTTGCACTGTAACTGCTGTTTCTTTTCTTTACTGTTCTTGCAAGTACGCAGGCCAACTTAGACAGGTTATCTGCTGACTATAGTGAGTGTGTGTGTGTGTAGGTTGGGGTAGGGGGGTGGAATGCGCGCAGCTTTCTGTAAAAAGGGAGTGAAGCACAACGATTGCTTGGAGGAGAAGAGAAGATGGTGTGATTAGATGAACGAGGAAGGCAATCCACTGCTCAGAGAGAAAGATAGAACTCTTCATCTTCCAAGTGTGTGTGTGTGTGTGTGTGTGATATGAGCACCCTATGAAATCCTCACTGTTTACAGCACTGAACTGTGATGTCCTCACAGACCATGATCTACTGTTCACTCACACTGAAGAGGATTGTCAGAAAGAAATACACCTGCTCAACATTCTTTATCAGTCCCTGACACAAACACACACACCAAGAATAAGAACAGAGGAGGTTAGACCTGTTAACCTGTTAGCAGCCATCTTGTTTCACATCTTGTTGGGAGCGCGTGCGTGCCATAGGTGACTGCGTTCTGAGTGTGTGCACATACACAAGTCTTTGCTCGTCATGGTACAGTAATTTTTTTAATCGAATTGATGGAGAAAGACAGAGAGACAAAGGCAAAAAAAAAGGCAGAAGTAGGGAGAGGGGAGGCGAAGCCAATTTATGTTTCATGATATGGCTGCGCAGAGCTGCACATACACACATGCACATGTGCTGCACACGCACACAAAGGCTCCTAACAGTGGTAACAACGTGTCAAGGCGAGCGCCAGGCAGCTAATTTGAAGTCATTAGATGTCTGCCGTACTGGCAACAATTTGTTACGCTCTCACACGCACAAACACGCAGGGAAAAAAACACATTGCAAACACACACTGAGTTAAGAGCCGTCTGCGGATAGCGAGGAGCCTAAATTGTAAACTAATTTAAACATCACTCAGCGTTAGAGAGGCTGCCTGCAAGACAGGCCCCCGGATAACAAGACTAGGGTCCCTATGTGTGCGTCTGTGTGTGTGTGTTGCCAGTCATGACACACAGAAACGCGCCATGTAAGAGACTTTTGAAATTTTACAAACACACATCTCTCTGATTAGTTTTTATATTCTAAGATAACTATGTGTGTTCGTTTTCCCACTGACATGGCCCTAAGCAAACATTTGAAATGTCATTAGGAAAGGAAAATAGGGTTTCAGCGGCAGCATGCCTCTTCTTTCCCAAAAGGAACCACAGGCCTGTACTTATAAGACAAATATGGTAGAACAGGTGAGTCTTTGGCTAATTCAAACTGAAAGAATTCCCCACACACACTTGGTGACAGTGCAGGGAGCATGAAGAATAAGCCGTCACACTCTGGGAACTGTGCTTATGTGGAAATATCAGGAGTTATTATTCAAAGGGCATGAAAGGCCTTACCGTCCAATAATATGGATTAGTGACGAGAAGATCTCATTTTAATAGCTCTCAAGGAGGCAACTTCAGATGCATATTAGGCTGCATGTCATGCCGAAGCGTGCATTTGTGGGTGTGCAAGAACAGGAGCGCAGTCAGGTGGGAAGAGGAGGAGGAGAACAGCAAATATTTGAACAGAGAAGAATAAGGGAGTGAATTAAAGAAAGGAAAGGCCATTCAGAATGAGCCATTTATCTATCACTAGAATAAGTCTTTTCATCCTCTTTTCTCTTTTTTTACTCTATCTCTCTCTCTCCCTGCTTCCATAATAACTAAATTGCTACCAGGCAGTCATACTAGCAGCTCTTATCTAGTCTTGTGGATACAATAGAGAAAGACAGACAGGGCGAGCACTTGACTTGACGGAAGACCAAGGAATGAACAAATGAATGAATCAACGAATGAGACCCGAAACCTATAACACAGCCCTTTTCTCTTCTTTTTTTTTACCAGAACCAGTGGCCTTGCCATTAGTGTGTTTTTTCACAACCCCCTCCCATTTTCTTTCTTATTCAAGAAGAAATTGCTCTTGGATCTCCCCCTATTCTCTTGCCTGCCTATCTCTTTTTACTTGCTCTGTCTTTTCTTACAGTCTTTCTCACTCGCTGTTGCCCTTTCAATTTTGACACTCAGGATAAGCAGTCTATGTGTCGGCCGTAATGTGGCATGATTGAGTTATAAAAATGGGGGATGGGAGGTGGTGGGCTTTCGCCATTGGTCCAACCATTTCATCAGTCAGATATGGCGGTACAGGTTTGAGAGGTGGAGGTGGTGATGGGATAAGGATTAAGCTTCAAAGTCCACCATGTTACGTCTTCTCGCATCACACATTACCATATAGAAATTCAACTAAAGACTATCAGACAATGAATGAATTTAGAAAAGTTGCTCATAAACACTAATACCTCTTGACTAATGGAATAACCATCTTGACAGATTCTATGTGTTGTAAAAGTTGACATACTCTATTTTTGACATTGGACATTTTTGATGTATTGATGAAAACAGCAGAAGACCTTTTTTTATATTTTGAACATAATAAAAATGGCTAAATTTTATGCTGACCACTGTACAAACCCAATTTTAACTCACTAACTGTTAAACCAATAAAGTGAGGAAATTATTTTTTATATGTGTCTTCTAATTCCCTGTCCTGATCTGAAATATCTAACTGGATTACTAATGTAGTGAAGTGATTAATTTGTAAATGGGGTTTTTGTTTATTCTTTTTTGCGCAGTTTTACTGAAAACTACTTAAAAAACTCAATTGTTACAAAATTGCTGACTGAAAGATTGCAGTATTAAAATTGGAGCTTACAGTGGATTCCAAGCTCAGAGAGGTTCTCTCTTTCTCCAGTATTGCACTTTGACTGACAGTCAAACAAAACTTTTCTTACATTATCATGCATTTTGCCATATATATATATATATATATATATATATATATATATATATATATATATATATATATATATATATATATATATATATATATTTATATATATATATATATATATATATATATATATATATATATTTATATATATATATATATATATATATATAT